ATCTTTGCCCTTCCATATCACTGTTAATTAATGGTCACTTTAGTCATTGGATGCCTACTTTGTGGTCCTGTCAAGGAATTGACATTTCCATTGTGTAATAGATAATCAGTATAAACAGCCAGAAAAAATTGGTATTAGAAGTAGCTAGTACAGTCATAAGTAGCTAATATTTGTGATTGTTTTATGAAAAGCATTCCACTTGAGTTATCTCCTTTTATCATCACAGTAAGCCCATGTAATTGGTACTGTTAGTCCCACTTGAACCTTAACTTGCTATAACTTGCCAAAGATGACATGCCAGAAAATGTGAGAATTTATTCACAGGTGTTTGGTTGCAGTGGCCCTATTCAGGGGCTCATTTAGGGAATCTCAATTTTGAATTATTTCAGCTTGATGTTTTTAGTTACAGAATTTTATTTAAAGAGGATCAATTTTTTACTTGAGTAAGTATCAGATACTTTCACAGATGATGTTCCAAAAATTCAGGGTTTTTTTTTTGCCCAACTGATATAAACCTTAACATTTATTATAAGGAAGCCTACTCTTAGAGATACAATTGGTTTTCCACAGGCATTGTTTTGTGAGAATTTTACACCCCTTAATAGGTATTTTTTTAATGCATCATTATAAAAAACATGTACTCAGCTAATTCATATAAGCTAGTCAATAGTGATAGCATCAAGAGCTTGTCAGAGAGTCTGCTCTTTTTCACATTTGAAACATTTTTTCTTCCAACTTTCATTTGTCAATTTTACCTCAGTAAAGTTGTATATATTTACATTGTATATAGCATAATGTTTTGACATGAGTGTACTGTGTGAAATGATTGCCACAATCAAGCATTACCGCACATAATTATATATCTTGCCACAAGGAAAAAAAAAATATGTCTGCCTTCTTAGTAAATTTGAAGCACACACAAAACTGGATTGTTAACCAGGGTCACCATTGTGCATCGTGGCTTCAGAATGCCTCCATCTTGCATAACTATTTTGGTACATGGGTAAATTTTTCTGGAGCACTTTCACAAAGTTCAACGGAGTAGAGTGTTGTTACAAAGTTTATGATGCGTTGCTGTAGGCACTATATTTCAAAATAAAGTTATTAGTGTGCTTAAAAAGTTATTCTGTGACTAAAAGGAATTTGCTTATTAGTGCATTCAACTTTTAACAACCCCTCTCACCCATTTGCTTTATTCACACCATTAATAGTGTAATGGTAATATTCTTTGAAAGTTCTCACCTTTTATGTAAATCAAGTCTGAAAACATTTTAATTAACATTTATGAGCAGGGAAAACTCTCAAAACAAAATGTATCTTCCCCTGTGTATTACCCTAATTTGTTGTTAATGAGCATTCATAAATTATCTCTAATTAACACATAATCTCTTTAAATATACTTCTTAATTTGTAATTTCTACTCCTTGCTCAGTAAATCATTTTCTAAATATACACAAGCACACATATATTTATGGCAACAGTCAAAACCAGGGCCAATTCTTAATTCAAATAATTTAGGGATTTTTAACTTGATCATGTACTGTAAAATCATTTTTGAAAGCTTGCATTGCTAGTGACTTGACTAATAAAAAAGGGACAAACTAGCACCATGAAAAATAATCAAAATAAAATCATGTATTTATGAGTTTAAAGAAAAACCAGATGCGATTTTCCAACACTTAAGACTACCATTCCATAGTCTGAAGTCACTGTGACTTGGGTCACATTGTCTGACAAGTATTGTATCACTGCACTGATTGGGGAAGCTAAAAAAGCCAAACTCTTAGAAGCATTCTACAAATAAATGCATGTGGCATTTATCTTTCTCCTGAGTTATTTCACTTACCATCATTCTAGTTCCACCTGTGCCACTTAGCATCATTCTAGTTCCACTGCAGTGGGCCAGAGTTCCTCTTTTCAGCACATGTCAACCATGTCTTAATCCATTCTTCTCTCTTTGGATGCTTAGGCTGTTTCTGTAACTTGGTTATTGTAAACAAATTCCTGTCAAACAACGTTCTTGATGGTCTATGTAGTTCAGCTGTTATCCATGTTACCCATAATTCTGGAATGAAAGAAAAAAAAAAGTCTCTGTACCCAGAACCAGAAGTGAAATGTAAAATGTTTGTAATGTAAAATGTTTGTGCGGACTTAAGAATGTCTGATCCCAACACATGGGGGGAGGGGGGAGGAGGGAGAAGGTGGGGGGGGACAGGAAGCTGGGGGGGAACTGAACACACGAGGAAGGAAGACTGGCACATACTGAGTTACACCACTAGGTGGCACAGTGGGCAAGGGAGGAGCGGCCCTCTGTAGCCTATGTGGGTTGGCTCCCTGACCGGGGCTTGAACTCAGGCTGGAGCAGCAGCTAGCATGAGCGCTGTAGCACTGGAGCCTTAGCCCGCTAGGCCACCAGGGAGGCCCTGCTTTCCCGAGGCTCTTCCAAGCCTCTTATAGCCCAGTTGTAACTCCTGGCCATTCTTCACCTTGAGAGCTGTCTACAGATGACTGATGCATTTGCAAAAGTGAGATTCACATTCAGGTGCCTACTGACCATTGATACTATGGCCAAGCTAGACAGTGTCAAACTGGGATGCATATTGCATATTTCATAACCTGTAAAGGCCCCCCTAAAAGGCTCCCCTAGAAGCCATGTACTGTGTAGTTATGGGATGGTAGGGAACCTACAAGCCTCGGAGGACAGGCACTGGGTGAGGACAGAGGTCCCTTCTGCGGTCTCCCATCCGCCCATTTGGAGACTGGCCCTGTAGTCCTGCCTGCCTCCTGCCCACTGCCTCCGCTTTCTCAGCACCCAGCTTAGTCTTCTGTTCCTTTAGCCAACTCTGCTGTGAGACACTCTGGCCCTGGGGCCTACTCCCTGACCTCAGTAACAACTCCAAACCTGGGACTCCAGGAAACAGGCCTAGAGGATGAGAGAATAAACCCACAACCTGCCTAGCTCACCGGCCCCAAGGATGTCACCTTTCCAGCGTCAGGCCAGATACAGAGGAATTCCCGGGTGACACCCATGATTCCAAGGATTCCCCCCCCCCCCAACCCACGACTGGCGAGTGGCACTTGGTGTCAGGATGGCCCCTGGTCACCATTCAGCAGACTGAGGGTTGTCTGTGCAGTGGAGACTGAAGCACAAGAGGTCACTGAACAGGCCATTTGGTTCAAGGACGAGACTCCAGGTGGGTTGGGGTGCTGACTACAGTGAGTCTGGCCTCCCTTGGGGCCTCCAGATTGTCACAGTCACCACCTCTGTGCACTGCCTGACCTGAGCTTTCACGCCTATGCCAGCAGCAGCTGACTGGCCAGTGTGCCATCTCCCCAAGTCTGGGGAAGGGAAACAGGGTATCTGCTCTTGGGCTGGGGCCCCACATGATGCGCTTCCCACCTCCCCTCAACCCTGGAATGACTATCTCCTGCCCACACCCACTTTCCAAATACATTCTCCAAAGGCTCCAGCTAGTGCTTCCAACTGCCTGCCTGGCACACCCAGTTGTCTCAGATACTTTCCTGTCCTTACCCATACTCATCCTGTTCACACCCACCCATTCACCCCACTTCTTCCAAGGGCGCTTCTGTTTCTGTCCCGCCAGCCACAACCTAGGCCCCACCTGACTTTGGACTTTCTCACTTAGCAAAAAGGCCTCGACACTTACCAGCGCCCCCAGTGCCAAGCCCCTGTCAGTACTGTCCTCACTTGAGGCCAGGCTCCCCTCCCGCAGATGCTGCCAGGCCTCTTGCATCATTTCTTTTTTTTTTTTTTTAAGATTTTTTTTACGCTTACAGAACTGGGGTACAGGCCAGAGGGGTGGTAGGTGAGAGGATTCACCAGAGACAGAGTAGGGAGTAGAACAGGCAGATCTACTGAAATACACTGCTGAGGGGAACAGCAGGCTGGTCAGGGGAAGTCTGCCATGCCATCCATATGGGTCAGCTCCCGTGCTGGGGAATCAAACTTGTGCTGCAGTGGCTTCTGAGAGCTTCATAGTGCTGTGCTTTAGCTTGTTGCACCACCAGGAAGGACACAATCACTTTTTTTTTTTTAAGATTTATTTATTTATACATACAGAACTGGGGTACAGGCCAGAGGTGCAGAAGCAATGAGAGGATTCACCAAGGAGTGGGGAGCAGAACAGGCCAAATGACTAAGTATACTGCTGAGGGGAGCAGCGGTCTAGACAGGAGAGGTCTACTGCACCATGTGGGTCACCTCCAGGGCTGGGATCAAATCTGAAGCAGCTGCAGCTTGCTTGCAGTGATGTGTTCTAACCCGTTGCTACACCATGGAGGGGCATGATCACCTCTTAATATGGATACAAATCTTACTCATAAGAGTTACAACCTCATGATCAACTTAATCTCCCAAATATCTCTCCTCCAAATACTCTTAGATTGGGGAGTAAATTTCAGCAGATGACTTTAGGAAGTATACAGACATTTATTTCACAATGAAATGAAATGTTTTGTGTCTTAGTACAGAAGTTTGAATATATTTGAATACAGGTTGCTGTCCAGCCAACATCGGTGGTATGGTAGTTACATCGCTCATGTTTTGTATGTTTAAAATATGAAAAAAAAAATAAAGTGGTCAGCATGATAACGCAATGATCCCAAGCATTTTGAATAATAGTGCACATGTTTATTTGTAAATATATCAAATTGTTGGAAAAGTTATGACATTTTTTCTGTTGTTTTCAGGCAAAAATGCATCATGACTTTTCTGACAAGCCAATATATAAGCATATATTTGTATGTATACATCTAAATATGTATTTAAGTCTATAGCATTGCAGTCAAAACAATGTACATTTACTAAATACTTGGTATTACATTCATGAAATATTGGGAAAACTAAATAGTCCTAGTTAATACTTAAGGAAATATAAGGATATTTATAAACCTGTTTAATAAAAAGTTATTTTGTTTTCCTTTTACAGAGTAGTAAACATGAAAAAATGTTTTCTCTCAGTTCAATGAAATTTTTTCTTGGGGTGAAGAAAAAAATGAAGCCTCCAACAAGGTAAAGTTTGATGGAAAGAGTTATGGGGAAATGTGGGTGTGTATGGACTCAGAGAGCAAAGGCATCAGTCTAATTTTTAATAAATTAAGGTTTAGGCAGATGTTTAGGTTACCACCGCATCCCATTGGGGGGCCCATTGGATAGATGCACGGAGGCAGTGTTTCCTCTGAGACCTGCATCAGGCACCTGGGTGTTTGTGTCTCCCTGATGGAAAGCACATGGTTTCTCCACATCCCATTTCTTCACTAGTCACAAGCTGAGAACATCAGTAATTTCTCCTTTTCAGCCTCCTGACAATTGACTTAGAACTGAAAAATAGATATTTGTTTTTATGATCAAATCATAAAATTTGATTGGTCTGGCCTGACTCTGTAACTTGCCCTTTGTCTTCTTAAATTTGATAAGAAGGAAATACATAGATAATAGGCGTCTGGTTCCTTCTATATGATCCGCTCCTCTCATTTGAATCATCTCAACATCTGATTTATACTACTTCCTTACCCTAAATTTTTTTGATCAGTGATATAATACCTATCTGAATACCAGGAAACATCCTTTTCATAAACTGTCTATGCATTGAGATTCTATTACTGAAAATTTCACTTTTGTCTTATGCTTAATTTCTAAACCCAGCGCATAGAGCTTTCTGCAATTGCTTATCTTTTAATTTGCTATAGTATTATTAGGTCAGTATATATGTGTACTGTATTTTGCTATTGTGGATATATTCATTGATACCTGTCATGTCTCCATCATGTTTTAACAGATTTGCCCTCAGTCCCATGACATAAAAGTATTCCTTTGTCTCCCTTTAGTACATTTAAATGTGTACTGAAATCATTTAATATTCATCATTTAACTCTGGCTAATTTATAATCATTGCATTATTGCTGTGGGTATTTATCCTGTTTTACATTTATACCATTAATACCACCTCCTTGACATTTAGTTTTGTTTTTAATCTTGTAAATGTTAATATGTGTTTTTATTTTTTACTTTTTTTCCATGTGATGCAGTTGGGGATTGACAGCATACTTTGAAAAACATCACTGGTAAGTGAACAGCTATCAGGTTGATATGATACTTCAGTTACCAAATATGGTTGGTTATTATTTGATAAATACATGTATAGACAGTAAAGTGAAGTTAAAATCTTTTATAAAAATGGTGTCCACAGAGAGCAAAGTTGATTTGCTTAGGGTTTATTTAGGTCCATTTCAGTCTCATGCATCCTATTTTCCAGTGCCTCTAAGAGAAACTCCATTTCTTTATTTACTTGTTGAGGGAGTGTAGAATCCCATTTCTTACAGGGTAAGCAGGAACCATTCAGTTTTAAATGAAGGATAAGAACTAGTCAAAGCTCAGTGAAAAGAAATTCTTGTCTCAACTTATGCCTTTCATAGATGCGTGATTTTCACTGATGTCACCAGCACCGCCCCATTCTTCCTAGAAGTACAGCGGTCCTCTTCCCCTCACTCACTGCTGTCTACTCAACCACTCAGCCAAAAGACCTGCTTTAATTCTTCCTTGCCTTGTGAGCTCTGACTTCATTCACTTGCCTAGATTACTCCCCAGTTCTGAGTGTTCTTCCTGAGTTGGCTTTTGTTCACTGTGATATACATCACTTAATCACCAATGTGTTTTTCTAAAATGAATTGTTTCTCTTACATTTTAAAACTGTCACAGACAGTACAGGTAGTTGGTGTGGCATGCTAGAACCCGTAGTCCGAGGCTGTCTGCTGCGGGCAGCCCTTTACCTTTTTTTTTTTTTAAAGATTTATTTATTTGTGCGTACAGAACTGGGGTACAGGCCAGAGGCTCAGGGGCTGTGATAGGCTTCACCAGAGACAGTGGGGAACAGAACAGGCAGATCGACGAAGTACACTGCTGAGGGGAGCAGCGGGTGGGTCAGGAGAGGTCTGCCACACCATGTGGTCACCTCCGGGGCAGGCGGCAATCGAACTCATGCAGAAGCGGCTTTAGATTCTCAATGCTGTGCTTTAACCCGCTGCACCACCAGGGAGGGCCCAGCCCTTTACCTTTTAACATAAGCTGTCTTCAATTCACCCACGCCGTGCTGCCTCACAGCTTTATAAATAGTCCCTCTATGGCTGTCTTCCCTGCTCTCCTTCTGCTGGTCTGGGTGACTCAGCTCTTACTCTTCAGCACATAGTGCACATGTCCCCAAAATGTATTCACTAAGCGCACTCCTCTAATTGTTATTTCTTCTTCGTGTAAGTAACATTTTGTATGTACATTTTTGTAATGACATGTTGGAAATGGGAAAGGATAGCATCCAGGAGAATAATGAAGGAAGCAACACTTTAAAAATTAACATTTCCCCCAATATTTATTCATAGTAATATAGAAAGTATATAATTACTTTTAAATGTCCACTCTCCTAGTCTAACATCAGTTATACAGCCTCTCTGTGAGTGTTGTTTATCTGACTTTCCCTTTTCCTTACTGTTTATGTGGTTCCCCTAATAGACTGTGTGAGCCTTGAGGGCAAACTATCTCTTTTCTTTAGGTTACTGAATCAGAGTTATTAGATATCAAGGATTTTTCCACTTAGCTCCTGTTTCATGAGTCTTGTGGGTATTAATTAAGGTTTGCAGTTAAAATGCTGCAGACTGTCAAACCCATTTCAGCGAATGAGTGCATATGTCTCCTTAGGCTCAGCTTCTGAGAAAAAGATGCTTATCTTTTCTCCCTGAAAAAGCAAATGACTGACCTTCTTGCCCTTTCTAAACCTTTACCTGCATTTAGTAAAACTCACATATTTGCACTTAGGCATTAACAGATCCTAAGACAACTGATAGTGGAAAGCCCCCATTTTTATGACACTATATGAGTAATTAGTAGAAGCCTAAAATGGTTTCTGGTCATTAAATCATCAGATGTACTAAAGAAACCTCCACTGACTTTTTGAACATATTTTCTAAACCTTGCTTTGTAGGCACCTGTGTTGTGATAGTTTACAAACTCAGATGGACTGGATGGCCTGTGTCTTCATTGCCCAGGTAGGGTCTGGTTGAACTTCTGAAAGCTACCATCACTGTAAAATTTCCCACAAGTAATTTTAATAAGAGATGTTGTTTGTATGCTTTTACTTTCCACATTATTTTAAAATACGAGAATTCAGATGTATCTATTTTGTTCTGCCCAGCTGCTCTTTAGGAGAGGTGTTTTGCCTTAAGGTAAGGCCGAGGGACTGTCTGACTGACTTCTCACAGAGCCACGTACTGGTCTTTCAGGAAACTGTGCTGGCTGCCTTTCCTTCTTCCTGCTTATCCCCACCATTGCTGGTCCAGCAACAAGGACAGATACCTACATTGCTTAATACCCACTGTGTGTCAGGTACTTCAGAATAGTTCTTGCAACAAACTGTACACAAGGTGGCTGACAGATAAGAAAGTAAAGGTTAACTGAGGTCCCAGCTGCTTCGAGGGGTACATTTAGTTGGTGGTTTAAGCCCTGGGTGTCAGAGAGCAAAATATACTTGATGCCCCATTTACTGTCCCAGGAGAAGGACTCCCTCTTTCTGAGAAGGGTTTAACAGTCCGACTAATAGGATTTCCCCAGCAGCCTTGTCTGTCTGAATTCCCATTATGTTTCCCACAAGAGCATTGAAGTTTACTGCTAACGATTGAGTTGCCAGTCTTTATTACCAAGCATGTACTTCCCTGTTTCTCTTACAAGTGGAAGTTAATTCACCCCAAAATCTAGTCCTTATTTGGTTGGAAAACCACTTTCTCTGTTCGTTTAATTTATTTACTTCTCCAGTGGTTAATAAGCACTGCTCTTCTCAGTCTAACTCTCTGAGACACATGGGAATATATTTGCAGAACAAGAGTGGCTGCTTACTTTTTAGAGGTTGTTTTGTGTCTTCTGGAAAATTTATATGTTGATGTTCTGCCTAGAAAACAAAAGCTAGATTTGAAGTATTTTAAGTAAAACTGAAAAAATACTTTATGACAAAATCATAAAATTTGATTTGTCCTGAAAGTCAAAGTATAAAGAGCCAGAAACCAGGGAGATTACTTCTGCCTTCCCCACACTTAGTTGCCCAGTCCCCGAAATTCAGTTCAGCTACCATTTCCATTGACTCCACTTCTTAGGATTACGGTAAACATAAATGTCCTTTGGATTTAATGCCTCGGCACAGTAAGACAACTTAAGGGAAAGCAGCAAACATTGACATATAGGATATAATACACACATTCTGGTCAATACTAAGGACCCTTAGAAAACCTCCAGGAAGAATTCATCTAATATCCACCCTGTCTCCAGCTTATATTTCATATTGTTAGGAAGCTTTCAACCTGTGGAAACCCTTATGATCATGTAATACAACATAGTATTAAAAAAAAATGTGTAATTAGGTTTTTCTCACTTTTCTCACTCTTGTAAGATCTGTGTGCACATCTTCATCGTCTTTTTCTTCTTTTAAGCGTGACGAGAAAGGGCTCTCAGGGAAATCCTTTTCAAGTAGCTGACAGGCGAATTGGGCCCACTCTCAGGTGTGGGACTGAGCATTCCAGAATAGGGTCCAGCAAGGCCCTGCTTATCTTCTTTCCACGTGTTTCATTATAAGACTGTGTGAGGCAGACTACAATGTTAGTTATATTAGTTGAAAAAAAAAATCCCTTTTTGGGGGCTGCTGTGTGGAAGGGCTAGCAGCTCATACGAGGGTGACAGCATACTTCTAGTCCACACTCGAGCATATTTGCAGCCAGAACCTGAAAGGTTTGGAACGTGATTAGCTAGCTATAGCAATTTGAGAGAAGGGATAGACATTAAGGGAGTGTTGGAGCCTTGAGCAGCTGATAAACAAAAATTGAGAATTGTGTTGACAACTTGAAATGCCCATTAGACATACAAATATTTTGTGGATCAGATTGGAGTAGAAATGTAAATTTTAGAGAAGTCGATATTTAGAATGTATTGAATGCCATGGACTTGGGTGACATATGGGAGCAAGGCAGACAGATAAGCTCTAGGGCAGTCCAGTTTTTAAAGTTCAAGAAAGAGAATTACAAATTATGGGATTTTGATTTGTCTTTAGCATAGGAAAGTTTATACTTAGCATATATGAGATGATTAAACCAGCAGAGGCCCACATGAAGTAATGTGAGAAAATGCACATTTGTTCTCAGATTGTTGACTGCATATTCTGGCATATGCAATGATTTTAAACATGATGGAAGGAAGTTATGTGTAATCAGTGAAAATACTGGTTGCAAGAGGAGTCTGTAATTTGAGTACTGATGGCAATTTTTTGTAAGCCAGGGATGAATATTAGAGGAGCGATAGCATTTGGAGAGTTGCCCTATACTAGAACTTCAAGGTTATTTTGAGTGCGTATTTGGAATTGAAGCTCCACGAGATGAACCTGTAACGTGAGCTTCTGTTTTGTTTTGCCTCCATCCATTGGCAGGTACCAACTAAGTAAATAGAATTAGGTAAAGTTCAATTCTGGACTTTGACTGTTAAGTGTGATAGGAGGAAGATAGGGCCTGAGAACATTTACATGAACTGGAAGTATAGGTGGTCAAGGTCAGCAGTTGAGGGGTCCGCTGTTCATTGCAGCATTACCTGTTGCAGCAGAGAAAAATATTTCAGGAGCCCAAATGCAGTTTTCAATCCATATCAATTAGCACATAGCCTTGACCCACCCGTGTGCAGTATAAGCATAATTCCTTCCTAGCCAGTGTTCTCTCGGATAAACATGCTGGGAACATCCCAGTCACTAACTTTGAAACCGTATGATATGAACAATATGGAACTTGTAACTTTTTCTCTGAATAGTGGATTTACCATTCTACCCTTGCTGAGACAAAGTATTGCACCAAAACTTAAGGGTGATCTGAAATGCATGTCCTCAGTAACAATAGATGAGATGCTGGAGGGCTGAGGTCCGACAGTGGAGCCGCGTGAAGCCTGGCAGCGCCCCCTGAAGTAAGCCAGCCCTTGCTGTATATGGGCCCACGTTCTTAGGGGCTGAGTTGTAAAACACGACATTGTCACACTGATTGGGCGCAGAAGTCCATTGAGTCATGAGAGGGGAGGACGAAGGTGATGTTTCAAAAGAAGCTTACTTTTCCCAACTTGTGAAAAGTTAAAGATTTTTCTTTTCTCTGCATATTTCAAGCAGGCATCTCACCGAAGAGCTTGCGTTTTCACCTACAGCTATTTCTCACCATTACAAAATTTTCTCTAGTCATACAGTAATTGCTCAATGTACCTGGATAGGCAGTGAATTTGAGAATAAATGTACCACTAGTTATACAATGATTTTTCAGTGTAAGTGTGTACAGGGTAATGTTTTTTTGGAATTCAGTTAAATGAAAAAGTAACAGTTTTCAATAGATCATAAAATAAGGCTATTCTTGCTGATAGTTGTGCCTTAGATTATTCTTGGTGTATGCCATTAAATTATTTTCATGCTGCAGTCATCTTTGACAGAGAAAATGAATGTATAGTTATTTTGATTACAGGACCTAGAAATATGGACAAGTGGTATGTTATTTTTTCTCCCTCCACGAGATTTGTTAGATTCCTCAAATATTTCTCCCCGTTAGGTCTAGTTAGTATTTAGGAATTGAACTGAGACCTCAAAGCTCAGTTCACTTGAGTTTTACATCCTCAGCCAGGCCGCTGCCAGGCAACATCATAATTACAAATGGCAGCCCGGGGAGAGCAGAGTATGGATTTGTATGTCGGAAAAGGAGCCAAGTGCTGTACATGTGAGTACCAAAGAATAAACTCACACCAATGACAAGAAATTGTTTCCACAGCATGAAAATGATGTCTGTCCACCCGCTGGAAAGGAACGAAAACGTTCTATAACCAAAAACCCCAAAATCGGAGGTTTGCCTCTAATTCCCATCCAGCATGAGAAAACTGCAACTCAAGCCCGAAGAAATATCGAGGTAGGTAAAAGTTTTCCTGTAATTACAGTGTGTGTTTTCCTGTGTCTTGGTGTGATTAAGGACACTAGTCACTTCAATAGCTTCAGTAGCACAATAAAAATTACTTGGAAAAATACAGTAAAAATGGGCACCCACCACCTCTTCCATTGCCAGATAAGGCAGTGTCATTTGGGCTCAGATTATGTTCAGCTTTGCATGCATTTATTCAAATCAGATCCCTAAATTCTACATCACAAGTCTAAAAGTTTGTTTTGATAGTTGAAAGAATGAGAACTTTTACTGTGATAAAAACACTCTGATTTCCCATGTAAAAGACATCAGGTGAATTTCCACAAGATTAATGAACTCCCAAACCATCATTTTCACTTGTTTTTGTTTCAACTTTCATGGTTTGTATTTTGAGAAAATTCATAAATGGGAAAAGTAGAAAAATTTTTAAGATCACAGTTCAGTGACATTAACTGCAACCATTTCTTCCTTTTGGTTTGAGTAGAAATAACCTTATCTGCAGATTCTAAATTGGATTCAGAATTAGTATTATGTTTTTACTTTCTTACGTTTTCAACTCTTGTGTGCAAAGAATAACTCCCTCCGCCATATCCTGATCTAGTTTCCTGGGTGGATTTTCTGCTTTTTTTCCCCCAGTATGTTGCATGATCTGTTTACTCGTGTCTTCTTCAGCTGCCTCATCACAGGTATCCTGAGCACTAGGTAGGAAACTGCCCTTGTGCCGTTGTGAGGGCGGCACTGCAGCTGTTTCTGGTAGACCTTTAGAGGTCATAAGTGAGTGGGGATGCTGGCCCTGGGACACAGTGGTTTTTACTATATAAATACATCTGGAATTCGAAGTGACAGGAGGGAATATTTCACTAGTCAAGTATTATAAGAGTAGGAATGAATTTCAAATCTCTCTGCCACCATACCTCTCGGCATCTTTAATATGCCAACATATGAGATACAGAGGGAAAAGGTTGAGTGTGTCCCAACTCACATGTCCCTCGAGACCACCTTTGTCCTTGGAGCCATAGTACAAAACCACAGGAAGATGAGATTTGCAAAACACGTGACGCATCCAAGCAGAAGTAAGAGAGACAAGTTACATTGAATACCCTGAAAAGCCTCTTTAAAGTAGTATGCTAGGCCCTCCGGCGCAGCGGGTTAAAACACAGCACTGGGAAGCTAAAGCCACTTCCTCATGAGTTAGATCCCCACCCGGGAGGTGACCACATGGCGTGGCAGACCTCTCCTGACCCGCCCGCTGCTCCCCTCAGCAGTGTACTTCGTTGGTCTGCCTGTTCTGCTCCCCGCTCTGTCTCTGGTGAATCCTCTCACTGTCCGCACCTCTGGCCTGAACCCCAGTTCTGTATGAATGAATAAATAAATATTAAAAAAAAAAGTAGTATGCTAAATGCATGTTAAAAATCGCCAGTTTACATTTCAGTTGATCTTGTAGCTTTAAGATCAGTATGTAAATTCAGACAAGCCACTAGTGTCAATGTCGAGTTAGAGCTAGAAGCAATAACTTATTTGGAATGGGGTTTTTTAAATTGTGCCAAATCTTGCTTTCCTGTGAGAAAACTTGTTATTTTTAGAGTGCAAGAGCAGAACTCGAAAAGCTGTGGTTGAGTGAGAAGCACGAGCAGGACTCCGGGGATCAGAGTTTAAAGGAGAGAGCCTCCATCGTGGCCCACTGCCTGGAGCACAAGGATGACAGACTAAGAAGTCGGACCAGAAAACACCGGAGTTTGAATTGTCTGGAGGACACAGAGACCGAGGCCCTCCAGGGGCAGCAGAAAGCCCAGAGGGGCCTGAAGACGCTGAGGAAGCCTGAGGACAGGAGTAGTAAAGCCGCTTTGGACTCTGATAACAAGTTACCATCCAAGGTCATTGAAGAACTTAGTGCTGTTCTCCAGCGGTCGAGAACCTTTCCGAAAGAGCTGCAGGATGAGCAGATTTTGCAGAAAGAAATAAAATGAATTGTCTCACATTATTTTATTATTATGTACAGCGGGGTTTTTGGCAAGACAAGCAAAACTAATGTAATTCATGGTTCAGGAGATATGTCTCTAGCTTAATTTACACATTGAAGCGCATTTAAATATATGTATATACATGATAAGTGCAAGATTAACTTTATTTTGGTCTGAGCAAACCTTGTACAGTTCATCTATATTTGTGTAAAAGAGGCAATGGATTACTTGGAGTGGCCAGCCTTTTAAAGTGGTCGCATAAGAGGTGTAATTTATGACCAGGATTCTTAAACTGTACTATACTGTATAAAATACCATGTTTAAATGGAGCCTATGAAGCTGTATGTAACACATTTTGCACTTTGTGAAACCTTGTATATATTAAGTTACCAGATTATTATTAGGTTTACATAGGTTCCTCCTTAGGGAAAAGCAAGGAAGGAGGAGTTATTTTAGTGGCTGCCTGTCAGTCAACACTGGGGTTTTATAAAGAGGTGATGATGGACAAATGCCCTGGAAGACCAGCTGAGAGTCGTCCTACTTCAGTATTGACCAGAAAACGACTTCTTAAAGTAGTCGAATGACTTTAGTTATTTCCAAAAGTACTGTTCTTCCAACAAACCTGAATCATGGCACTGGCCAGTCCACTTTTGTGTATGGTGTTAGTGACCAGCCACAGTAAACATTCACTACACTGCAGTTCTTTGGAGGAGGCTGCAGAGAAGCTTGGCAGCACTGGAGAGGGAGTGCGCAGGACATCGCTCTACCGCACAGCAGGCTTTCAGACCTCCTTACCACGCTCTTGGTACGAACAAAATTCATCATAGTTTGTTATTTTCCGTTGCTCACTTTTTAAATAAGGTTGTAAAAGCTTGCAATGTCAGAATTCACTGAAAAGGTAAAAGTGGCCACTTTGGGTGGGACATTGTGTAATTCTGCTATACATTTGGGAACTACCACTTCACATGTTAGTCTCATTAAATAAAGTAGTCGTCGCTTCTCTGTGCCAAATAATGACAAAGCCTATTTTTGCCTTCACCTAAAGATCGGCTGCTGAGTTGGTGATGTTCCCAAGTCAGGCAATATTGTCTAATTATAGTTTACATTAAGGGCAAGGAAGCAGCTTTGATCAATTTCTTTAGAACTTTTGTTAAGGTTGCGGTGCATGATTAAAAGGTATCTCACATAGTTAAGTTTTACCGCTGGCAGTTCTTTCACACACATCTATTTTTTCAGGTGTCTCTCTTAATTTGTCTGTATACAAAAAACCTGTATTTCAGTCCAGTTACAGTAACATGCTGTTCAATGCTATGAATTCTTTCATTGTGAAATACTTATATTTGCTGGTGTTAAATAGTTTACCATGGGTATATTTATTCTTTAAATACAAATTGTTTTTTTTTTTTAAAGAAAAGACTGCAGGTCAGTTTATGAAATAAGTGATACTACTGGGGACCTTTAAGGCAAGAAATTGTACTCTCTAGGGTAAAATATAAACTATTCCTAGTAAATGGTAATACTGGTGTTATATGAAGTATAAAAACTTAATATGTGGACACTGATGGAAACAAAAATATCTTGAGATTTTTATCTGCCTTATCTGAATATTTTGAAACTGGAGCTTCAAATTTAGTAACTTCTTTTTCTCTGTCTTTCCTGTATAACTGTTCCCATTTTTCAAATGTAAGGTAAGGGCTAAAGATGATAACATATATTTTGAGTCAAAATTAAAATTTTATAAGTCCACTTGAATGGGGTTGTCTTTCTCATTTTCAGAAATTGAAGGATGTAATTGTGAAATAGATCTAATTAAACAGAGTTCTGTTATTTTCCAAATATAATATGAAATAGTTCTATTTTAGATGCATTTATGCCAACATGATACATATTGGTGCTTCTGACTTCATTTGTATAGCCCTAAAGTTACTTAAACATTTGACTTCTAAATACATCATTACCTGATGACCTATCAAAATAACAGAGTAGTCAAATCTAAAGTAAATGAAGCATAATTATGATTTATGTATATGACCATATTAGCTGATTTGCATTGGCATTGTTTAGATGACAGCTGTTAATTCCAAAATAAACAGCATATATTTCAAAAGAAGTATCCTTTTATTAAAAGTGTCCGATTTGTAGCATCCAGATATTTGCATGTTTTCTCAAACTTTTGGTAATTACTGTGGGAAAAAGATGCTTAAAACTTTTACCATCATCAAAATTTTCCTATCCTTTGAGGAAAAGCTGGTATGAAGATTATAATATGAACATTTTTGTCTTCTGTACAATCATCTTGTTTATCTCTAGTCTATAAATGCAGAGTAATAATGAACTTACATGTAATTCATCTTTTCACACCCCATAGTTACTTTATTTTACTTATTGAAGTTATTCTAAATTATACATGCATCCCTATTTTCTCTGCCATGGCTACTGCATGTTGAATGTGAAGATTTTGAAAATTCATATACTGCTACAGATTTAAAGCTTTTTGTAAATTACTGGATTAGAATTCAGACTAATATTCCACATCTGAGAATGTATTACCTATCTTGTGGGCTTTATGAATGACTAGTTATATATAATATAGATCATATGTGTGTGTATCACATATCTGGCCCATCAAATCACTTTAATAAATGTTAGTTTCAAGGCACTAATTTTTCTAGTTCTTATTTGCTCTAATTTGACACTTCTAAGTATTGGTTTTCAAACTGGTTCTGACAGATTTTTTTCATTCCTTTAAAAATGAGTTTGTGTAATGAGTTATGTGTGAAAGCAGGTTGTGACAGGTTATCAACTTCATCAAGTTTTGGGAGACAATATGTGCTGCAGGAAGCCCCACTTCTGTATTCCAGAACAAGGACTATTTACTGACAGGGTTTTAAAGATACTAAGTTCACACTGAGGTTATTAAGGTGGATTCTAATGAGACCTCCTGAGGTCCTCATAAGAAGAAGAAATTAAGAGACAATAGGGATTCATGCACATGGAGTAAAGGCCATTTGAGGATAGTCATAAGGCAGCCAGATGCAAACCAAAGAGAGACTGCAGAAGAAACCAAACTTCCAGCCCCAGAAATGAATAGGAAACATAAATTCCTATTTTTTTAAGCTGCATCATCTATGGTATTTTGATAATGGTAGTCCTAGCAAGCACATATATACTATGTTGTTATGTAAAGCTCTTAATAGGTATCACATGAACAGAATGTCCCCTAACATTTATATTAATACTTGAACTTGTCTCATAGCTCAGAATACCTTTGCAGCATTACATCAGAGTTCCAGCTGTTGAGCCAACTAATGGTAACAGATGCCACAGAAATATAAAGTTTCATAATCTATTATGAATCTCTGTAGATAAGCATAATCTAGGAGAAGTACAAGGGTTTAGATTCATATACCTTCTACATGTGAACCAAGATGAGAAAGTTTAAACACAAGAGAAAGTCCAATCACAAGTGAGGAAATTGAAATAAGTAAATCTCCCTGACACTAAAATCCTTGGACTAGATAGCATCTTCAGTGAATTCTATGGAACCTTTAAGGACTTAATACTTACCCCACTTAAACTCATAAAATAAAAACCAAAGAGTATAGAAAATTCCCACACATTCTATAAGGTCTGAACATCACCTTATTCCCAGTATAAAACAAGGAGATAACGCACACATACACACACACAAAAAGATCACTATCCCTGGTAAATGTAACACATTAAAAGGATCATTCACCATAATCAAGTGAAATTTATGACTAGGATGAGATTCATTTGACATACAAAAAAAAAAATGACTGTCAGAGACATCACCATTAAAGAAGGGAATACAACAATCATATGGTCATCTCAATAAACATGAAAAAATTTGTTAAAATTTGATACCTACTTGAGATGTAAGTGCTTAGCAAAGCAGGAATAGAAGAAAGATAAGAGGATTTCCTCTACCACTATGAACAAAACAAGGGTACCAGTTCATAATGGTTCTGGAAATACTAGATAGAACAATGTGGTAAAAAAAAAAAAATGAAGTAAAGAAAGGACTGAAGGAAGGAGGGGGGGGGATAGGTGAAGAGAGGGTGATCAGAATTGGAGTGGAAGAAGTAAAATTGTTTCAACTTGCAGATGACATGATTGTTCATAAAGTTGTATACAAAACAAACCTTAAATCTAGTAATTAAATTCAGTGTGTTATAGGGTACAAAATTAACATGCCAAGTGAGTAGCAGTTCCATACACTAACAGTGACATTACTGAAAAGCAAATTAAAAAGTATTCTTACATCAAAAAAAAAAAAAAAAATCGAAGGCATAGAAGTGGTGAAAGTGACCTAAACAAAAACTGTAAAAACTGATAAAATTGAGACAATACAGATAATGGAAAGTTATCTGTTCATAGATTGGAAAAATTCTTGCTAATAAGGCAATACTACTTAATGCCACCTCTCAATTCAATACAATCTTGGTATCAAGGTTCCAATGATATTTTTTACAGAAGTTGAATAAACACTCCTAAAATTTATATAGAACAAAATATCCACATAGTCAAATAAATTCCGACAAAGAAAAAAAAATAGGCATTATACTTCCACATTTCAAACTATAATATAAAACTATAGTCATTGAAACAGTATGACTTCAAATAAGTTGATGGAATGATGTATGTCAATTATTTTTCAATAAAATGGGAAAAAAATTCCTGGCTCACCATCTGTCACTTGAATGATTATTAAAAGATTTAACTAGTCTCTCATACACTATTTGGAAAGAAGCAAAATCAATTATCATTTTAAATATAAGATCATGTTTCTCCTCCTCACCAGCCCATGAATGAATATCTTCCTATTTCTGTCAGGTTAAAATGAAATATCTCTCAAACACTGAAATGATGGTTTCCAGTGTACCAATTGCTAGTTCTGTCATTTGTGACCACTTTTCACCACACTCACCTTGCTACATTCATACCTTGTTTCTACAAATGCTTTGAGCATTGCACTAGCTATTCCTTCTGTCACCAATGCACTCTCTAGAAACATGGCTCTTTAAAAACTTTACATCGCTGTTTCCTCACCAGGCAGACATCTGAACACTCCATATAAAATGGAAGCATCATCTTCTATCCCCTTTCTCTTATTCATAGAGATTACATCTATGTCATCTGACAATATATATATTTATATTTAAATAATTTAATTCCTTATACTAGAATGCAACTCTAGCAATCAGAGCCTTAGTTTCATTATGCATTCCCAACATATAGATGGTGCTGGTACTCTACCTGTTGATCAGATACCACAGTGATATTCTGAATGAATAATGATATCATGAGGTAGCTTATATAGACCAATGACCCCATCAAGTGCTAGGTTCTAGGAGCAATGAATTAAGAAAATACATATAAAGGCTATTATTGAAATAAATAGGAACAAAGGTGGTAAGATTCTAATGAAGGGGATATTGGTGAAGTGAGCCTGACATTGTAGAGCTGCACTATTTCTAAGGGAATTTAGAAGTTGAAAATAATCAATCTTTGATGGGCTTGAGAGATGCTTTCTGTAGACAGAGAAAGCAGCAAAGCTTTTGTACTTCTGAGTAACAAAAGAGACAGAATTGTAGATTCAAGGCACTAAGATCTCAGAGAGGCGGGAAGAAGGGAAAACTGACTATAGCTGCTTTTTCTTTATAAGAATTAGATGACTATCAAAGGCACACAGGGCAGCGAGTTAATAAGGTCAGCAGAAGATCACTAATAGCACAGTGGCATTTTACAGAGTCATGTCATTAACAAGACAGGATTTAAGTTTATTTGCTGTCATAGAAAGGGACTCCTGTGAACACAGAGGCTCTCAGTTAAAAACACTGGTGAGCCATATGACAGAATCTCATAAAAACTGTCCTCCAACCTCCCTTCAGCTCAGTTCCTGGCAGGGAAAGGTCACTCATCTCCTGTCTGGCAAAAGATGAAAAGGCAAAATCTCTCTAGAGAAGAATATCATCTAGAGTTTCAACAATTTCTTTTCCCTCTCTGGAATTAAAGGAAAAAAAAAAAAAAGGCACGCATAAACAAAGCATTCTGGGTAAGCAACTGTGACCAAAAACCAAGAGAAAATAACAAAAACAATGAAAAGAGATGTACAAGTGGTCAAGATTTTAAAATGAACAAGCAGGGACTCGATGAGAGCTATGATTAATATCAAGAATATAGAGTAAAAAGAATACACAGGACAAATTAGATAATTATGCCAGGGGATTAGAATCTAAAGATGTCAAATGAAAATTCCAAATATTAAAATAAAACTTACATTAAAAATGGGTTTAAGAGACTAAACATGCACCAAATTGATAAACTGGAAGGCAACAAATACCCTATTCTAATAGAAAAGCATATATAAAATATAGCACATCACAGGAAAGTCTAACATGTGTAACTTAAGACTCATAAGGAATGGAAACAAAATAGAGAGGAGGCAATATTGGAAGAGACAATCACCAAACTCTTTCAAAACTGCCAAGAGAGGGCCACAACAGTTACAATGGGCTAGTCAAACTCCAAGAGGGAAACAATGGCACACTTAAAATCAGCCAGATTAAAAGCGATCCTTTATTCCTTTATTATTTAAAAAATTTCATTAACAAAATTATATATACTTTTGAAGTGTGTGCGCGCGTGCGTGTGTGTGTGTGTGTGTGACTTTACCCATCTCCTGGGTTTCTGGTTGACAACCTACTATCCTCTTCCCCAACCTACTTTCCTTCTGGCAAACCACTATTTGTCACACACTGTAGAGTCGTTTGTTAGTCCATTTGTTTTGGTGATATATATTTCACATATGGTAGAAATCATCAAATAATTGTCTTAAGTTTCTGACTCATTTTACTTAGCATAATAACCTCAAGTTGCATCTAAGTTGTTACAAAAGGGAAGACGGCATCATTTTTCATAGCTAAGTAGCCAGTGTTCTGATGTATCTATATGCAGTAATTCTATTAACCTAGCATCCATCTATGGACATTTAGATTGTTTCCATGTCTTAGCTATTTGTAAAGAATGTGTCTATGAGCTTAGGGGTGGATAAGTGCTTTCATATTCTTCAGATAAATATGAGGAGAGCCATCCTGGATCATGGTATTTCCATTTTTAGATTTTGAAGGAATCTCCACACCAATGGAATACTATATTTGCAGAACCAAGACTAGAACAGCAGCCTCTACCATGAAAGAGGAAATTCAAAGTAAAATAGACTACAAATTTCATAGTGCTAGGCGAAAATACCCATCATGTATATTTCTGCATCCTCTAAATGTATTCTTCAAAAAAGAATGGCATGTTAACAGAAAAGTACCCCCCTCCTCCTCCTCCCCCCCTCCCCGCGGACCTGCATTGAAATCACTACTAAAGGTTTTTAGGCAAAATAGAAGTTGGTCTGAAATAGTTTCAAAATGCAGGAAGACTAAAGAAAAAAAAAGGGGGGGTTGGATAATAGGAATGAAAATCAACAAATATTGACTCTAGAAAATGGTGATTTTTCTATCTTAAATAATATGAAGTATATGCAGAATTATCAGCCATTAGAACAAAGAGTTGTCAGGGGCTTAAATTGCTAAAAGGTTTAAGCATTATCAGGGAAGAAGTAAATATAATAAATTA